CTGGAGGAAATGGGCTGCCTTTAACCCCACAGAGCTACATGAGTGCACTGAAGCTCTGGCATACCCATTGGATCAGGGCTTCTGGACTGAATACATTTGTTCAGTGATACGCATTTGTGATTTTATATATGTGTGTACATATATATATTTATATAGTCAGATCTATCCATTATTTTGTAGCCGAATGCAAACTATGAAAGCCACCTTGGTTTCCTCACAAGGCAGTATATAAAGTTAGTGTTGTCCTTGTCATCATAATCTCTGGGCCCGGTTCATGTATATTAGTGTTGCTAAGTCTTCATTGTCTTTATTACATTTTTTTTTTTTTTTTTTTGTGGAAGAGGACTTAGTTCTTGAAACTTCCCCCCGGCCAACTGTCCAAATATAAAACAGCTGCCTAGCTGCCTTACCAACAAGTTTTTATTGTTAAAATAAAAGTAGATTTTGTTTTGGGAAAAAAGAACACACATCTTCATTGTAAAACTCATGTTTGGTTTACAATTAGAGAAAAGTCACATGGTCCCAAAAAACCCAAGTTTTTTTATATATATATTTTGAAAATATATTTAAAAAACATAAAAATCTATATTTAAACATATATTATATGTTAATCAGTACACTTAAATATAGCTTAGTTATATTTACAATGTGACGCAGATGCTTGTAAGATTTAATGCCAGATTCATTTTTTCCAAAAATCCCATAAAATTATATAAATATACAATAAATATTTGTTACACATGGTGAATAAGAGAGAACAAGGCCACAGACATTAACTTACATTTGCAAGTGTTTTCTTCTTTCTTTTTTTTTCTTTTTTAAAACAAAACAATAGGGCCAATTACATGCATGAAATACTTTTGCCACAAACAGAGCACAGCAAAACTTCAATTGAGTGACATTTTTTGAAACCTCATTTCAACTAAAACTGCCAAGCCTGTGATCATATATCGTGTACAAGTAGGTCTGGCATAGCACAGCCATTAGTATTAAGAATAGTGCTTGTTCCAGCCTATGAAAACTGCAACTATCTTAGGGCCTAATTTATAACATACTGTTGGTTTTTTGTTTGGTTTTGTTTAGGTTTTTTGCATAGCAGTTTTCTTTGCAATTCCTGTACCCAAATAAGGATCTATATTTGTTTTTGAATGTTTGTGTGCCTTCCAAGTTCAACTGCTAATCTAAGTTCAGTACTGAAAGATATGAATTGCATCCTCATACGTAGCTTTTAGTCTATGATCCTCAAACCTGCGAGTCTATAATGATCCCACTGAGATCCAGTGTGGTATAGTAGGTATTGACTGGACCTTGAGAGATCCAGTTCTAGTTCTAACTTGGCTATGAAGCTCACTCGTGGCTTTGGGCCAGTGACTCACTGGCAGCGTAATCTGTATCACAAGAGTGTTGTGAGGATAAAATGGAAAGGAGAAACTTGTATGCCGCCATGCAAAAGGCAGAAGAGTGGGATATAAGTATAATAATAAGTCAAATTGGGCCAACTATATTGGTCAGAAAATGTGAGTCTTAAACCATAATATTTGAAGGGCAAAAGATTATACTCTGTATCAGTCAACTCTCACCAGTGCGTTGGAATTTTCCATTTATTAAGAAAAAGGCTGGCTGAACCTGCTTTAAATATTTTTTTTAAATCCTACAACACATCAGGTTGGATGCATAGTTAGAGTAAACATATTGGAATCTCCTGTGTCCTATGGGTCAACTCTAAGTATGACTAACTATGGACCCAACCCATAATACTCCTTCAAGAAAAACATATAAAGTCAACTAATAGCAAATATGCACATAAGCATTCTAATTATTTCCTGTTCTTCTAGTTTTGCCAGAAATATCTTATTTCAAATTGTTAGAAATCAAAGTCAAACAGAAACACTTTTAGTCCAGAGGTAAGATTATACTTATGTTCCAACAATCTTTTGTATATGCCAAATCACTATAAAATATTTGATATGCAATTGTTATTTTTCTTTTAGACTTTCCTTATCTGGACTGCATGACTCAAAATATTTGTTTTCTGCAGGTTTCTTAGTGGAACTTAGGTGGTCAGCTTTTTTTTTTTTTTTTTAATCTCTGAGTGAAAGAATCCATGTTAAAGAATCCAAGGTAAATCTATGGTAAATAACTCCATGGAAGGGAATCAATTTATATTGATGGGACAGAATATGGCTGCCATTACTTTTGCTATATAAAGCTAAGAATGTATAATGTCAGCCCACAACATGGCAGACTAGTTTAAGAGTTTTGAATTAAATACCAGGATCATCATATTTTCTCACTGCATAAGAAGTCATGCTTCCTCTCCATTCTCCATTTCTGTGCATGTCAAGAAACACCTTCTTGTTTCCAACACAATTGCACAAAACCTTTCTACTTCAATTAATGTAACCCAGATACTTTTCTTTCCTATACTCTGTGTACTGACAGAGCAGTAGACAATTAAGTGTCTACTAAGAGTTTCTGGAGAGGATATCCTGAGACACAGATTAAAGGAAGGAATTGTCATCAGGTAGAAAGGGCAATTCAGTCCCACTTGGGTCTCCCACATTAAAAATGGACCATTCCAGCATCTGCTTTCCTTTAAGGAAACAACCATTTATTTGCTTAACCTTGGGCAGACAGAGTTGATTAATGGAATGATATCTACCTACACACTGTCATTGATCAATTGAGTTGGTGTATTTTAACAGTGAACATATGTCCGAGGATTGCAAGTATATTTTCTAATCAACCAGAACCAATCTCGCTCTTCAAGTGCTATAAGTCAGTAAAAAGTTTTGAACTGTATGACTTTAGAATGAATGAATGAATGAATGAATGAATGAATGAATGAATGTACTTTGCTTTTCCTTACACAAAATGGTATTTTACAAAACCATAAGACTGGATAGCTAAAAGTTCTGGTAAGCTGAAAGTTCCAATAGTTAATTTACCTCTGGATTGCTAGCATTTAAAAAAATGTTTTTAAGAGCTGAGTCTTTATGTAAATATCATCCAAGAAGTGTTCCATTTTGGCCTGTAGCCTAGTTTACACAAACAACAGATGAAATAATGTATGTTTGCATTGCACTACTTTAGACTGCAGGTCATATTCCTCCATTCCTTCCAACATGAAACTAGATGTCAAGAAGAAGAGTCCCCAGCCCAGTGCTTTCTCTGAGATGCTCATTTTTAAAAAAGTAGAATGCTCCCATTGCCAGACTCAGAGAACAGTCTGCAATCTGAAGTGGTACAATCCAAATACAAACTCATCTACAATTTGTGAATCCAGGACAAAGGCCTGCTACTCAACAAAATTCCAAAAGCTATCCAGGAGAGCATGCATTTTTGTTGAGAAATTATGCATGTGGATCCCTTTTGTTAAATTACGTTGTGTACATGGTAACACATGGGTCATATGATATAAACCAAAAACAAAAAAATGCATTTAGTCAAAGCCAAGCTAAATTCTTGCTGTGATATTTGTAATGTCTCATAGCCATTGTCTATTGGAGGTTGTGCTGCAGTTGCTGATAATTATCCAGTCCTGTGCTCACTCTCTCACATATATGCATTCCACTGAAGTCAGCTTAATTAAAGTGCATACAACTGATGCCAGGATTGCATCCTCAGACTTACTTTAAACCAAGTGCTGTGATTCTACAGGCTTGTGTTCCCTGTAGGAATTAAGGCTATTGTGTGCTACCCCCCTTAGAAAGACATAGACCCTTATAGGCATATTTACATGCAACAGGTAGTTGGGTTTTGAGGTAGAAGGCTCTGCCTACCTGATTCCAGAGCCACTCCTTCAGGCCTGGATTATTTCATATTATCTCAAGTACAGAAAGTAGCAGGTATTTGAAAACTAGGGCATACTAGACATTCCTTTTAGAACAAGAGATAAGACTGTAGTGCATATATTTACTCACAGGGAATGTCTTTACTGCTTCATTGAGACTTTATAAGGTTATGCGCAGTAGTGATTGCTACTCTTTCCATTGCCATTGCCAACATAAGATTGTAGATCCTCAACTTGAGGCTGTAGATCCTTAACAGGTGGGGTGGATCCTATGGACTTACAACATTGTGGCCAAAAATATTTGCTTAACTACAATTTTATATCCATGTAATTTCTCATTTTTTTCCTTGCTGAGATTTACTATTGTACTTCAACAAGATATTTGATCCAGATACAAAAACTATTTGTCCATGATCCAGTACTCTTTGCATGACAGCTGGCCCTGTATGGGGATGCGATTCTCTATCCTCACCAAGAGATGTGTCTCTCAAAACTCAAGGCAACTCAGCAACAAATATCATGGATGCAGATCACCTGCACCTTTGCTCAGATCACCCTAGGAGGATGGAAAGTTGTATTTGAAAGAGATTGTAATTTGTTTGCTTCCCGGGAGAGGAAAGATGAAGTGGAGGAACCCATACAACCAAACAGGAAACAAGCCAAATGCAGGATTTCTAAGCAATAATCACAGAACAGAAAGTATCAACAAACATGGAAGTGCTGCTTATAAACTAGAAAAGAGCACTGGGAGTAACATCAGCATTGTCTTTTTTCAGTTGCCTCTTTTTTATTATTTTTTTCAGTAGTCTGATTTGATATTGCAAACACCTTCACAACATACAAAAAAACCCCAAATTTGTTTATCCAGAACATATATGGTGATGACAGGGAGTTTTCCCCTCTATTAAAACCATGTGGGAATTTTAAAATTAAAAAAATTAAATCAACATTAAAACTATGACAACAGCACCTTGACATTGTTTTAATTCCAACGCTACCAGAAGAATTTAAAAGCAGTAAACAGATATAATACTAACAAGAATAAAGATACTTACTGTCTAAAATGTAAACGGAATGTTTTGGTTCAATTTTTTTTCTGAAAGAGGACAGTTTATCATCAATTCACAATTGAAGCAGCATGCAATTTTATTTTTAATTTTTTAAAACGTTTTCAATTCTTGGCAACGGCAACAAACCACAATGTTAGAGGAATGGAATGCAATATTTTTTCTCTCAAAATTGTGCGCAAATGGATATCTTTTTTTCTCTCCCTCTTTTGCTCCCCTTTAGGTCATGGATATGTTCAATAAATAGAATGTGGAACCACTGTACTGTATAAACTTCATTTATACATGCAGTCCATAAAATTATTTTCTTTCTTACTTGAATAATTTACCCTGTTATGTATATATACAAATAGATAAATTTTGTCTCAATATAATCTATACAACATGAATCCACTATCTTCCCCTTTTTATGGTCAGTGTACAAACACAGGAAGTGTCTATTCTTATAAAGCGCCATCCAACTCTCTTTTTATTATCCATGGTGAGAGCTCTCACATAAGACTGGGTAGTTCGGCACTGGGAGTTCCAGTACCTCTTGTCTATGCCCCTGCAGCCCTCTTTCGTATAACCCTTCGAGTTGCATTTGGTCTCGTAAAAATATTGCTTCAGTTGACCTTTGGGTACTGGGACTTTTTCCAGGACTGTCACCGTTGCCCCTGACATGTCCACTGCAGTCTTTTTGTCCGCCGCTGTTACCCACTCGCTGATACTGTCACACACGCTCAGCTCCCCACGGCGAGCGGGGTCAGAGTGGCGCCGGACCCTCATGGACATGTTTGCAGCATCCAAGTAGTTTTTGTACTCCTCAAGCAGAAAGAGCAGTGGAGGCTCCAAAGGCACTTGGCTGCTTAGCATAACCCGAGACGAGTACAAGTCAGCATCCTTGTTTTCCTTGCTGGGCTGGATGACCTCCTGCTCGTCCAGAAGCTCCTCAATGACATGCTCAAAAGTGTCTGCCAAAGATGTCAACCCTCGCGTGGCATCATTGGGCCCGCCCATGCTCTCCAGATTTCCCTGTGTCCGGAGACCTGGATAAGCCAAGCTGCCTTGTCCTCTGAGGCTAACTTCTTTCATTGGGGCAGCTTTCATGCAACTGAAGTATGAAATAACCATAGTAAGAAAAAGGATGGTCATCACTCTTTTCACTTGGTGGAACTGTGAAAGAGAAAAGAAGACAGAAAAGGAATTCAAAATAAATCGGGTTTTGTTTTGTTCTGTTGCATTTCAAAGGTTGAAAGGTACAAAGCGGGCATATATCTTCTTACTGTTGAGAGCTCTGCATGGATCCTCCAAAGTCTTAACAATGCACAGGTACAGATGACATCAGTTAATATTGCACTGTCACAGTCAAGCCACAGTCAAGCCTGAGTTCTTCCTTACTAAAAGGAGCTGTAGTGGGTGTCCAACAATTCTGTTGCATAGGGGAAAGAAGCCACTGAGCAATGGAGCATTGCTACCGGATGGTGCTGGGTCCAGTTTACTACACAAGGGCCTTGAGACTTCTAGACCAACCCTTTAATGTACTCTTAGCAAGGGCAGCACCTTCTTCTATGTGCATCTTGCCAGTGGAGGCTGGTGGCTCCCATGTCAGCAGGAAGGTTTGCCCTATTTACAATACAGGATACAGTTCAGCACCATGGATAGCTCCTTTAAAGTTCAGCCTGCAACCTGGCAAGGATACACTGTCCAAAGACATTGGAGCCACTGGCCTCCACTGGCACAGTGTCTGCTGAAGGAGGTGCCATCGCATCCTCAGCCATATGCACCGTTCATTGGGCAATTTCCCAGTTTTCTCTCTGATGTCACCAAGGCAATCATTTAGAACACTAACTACACCAGATGCCAATATAATTGCACTATCCTGCTAGGAAAATGTTGGCCTGGAAGTCTCAAGGCCCTTGTGTAGTAAATGTCACACTTTGGGCATGATAATTAATTATTCTCTATTTGCATGTCAAGTGTAACAGCATGTTTGGAAAGGCTACTAAGCATCTGTTGCATGCCTGTAATAATTGGAAAAAAATCAGAAAGTTGTTATCTTTTGCAGAAGATCCCAGTATAGAAGGTGGAATTATAGAAGCTGGAATTATGAACTATAACAACATTTAAACAAAAAACAAAATGCCTCTTCTCTCACTGTATCTACGGCTGTAACCTCCCTCCCTTGTCAGTCCCCTGTCTTTAAATGCTGGTGAGCCATATAACAAACAAACATCCTATCTATAGTATCTAGTGATTTTAAACTAAAGATTTATAGACCTGTGATGTTCTGAAGAACTGGAAACTGTCTTTCTGAAATGCAAATCTTTCATTTGTGAGCCGCCCCGAGGCTTCGTGAACCGCCCCGAGGCTTCGGCGAATGGGGCAGCATAGAAGTCTCCTAAATAAATAAATAAATAAATCTTCTTTTAAATTTTAAAATCTTTTTGTTTGGGGTATTTATATTTTTCAATAATCCCTGCCCCCAAACCATGGAAATAATTATTTAACAGTACAATCCTGTATAAGTCTTCTCAGAGTAAATCCCACTGAGTTCAATGGCACTTACTTCTGGATAAGTTGCGCATATAGGCCTGTAGCCTACGGAAGATATAACTTGCTCCTTACTTATTTCAGTGTCACATTGGCCCAGGGGATGCCACAGAAATTCTGCAGGTGGGGCTTCCCAAAGAACTGCACCCAATGAATATCTGCCCGATGTGTCTGTATAGAGAACGACACTTCTCCCCTAACCCTGTAAGACTCTCATGGCCTCATCAAGATGCCCATCCCAACCATTCATGTTCATAAATGCTTACTATTAGTGAATAAATAGACAGAAATGAAAAGGCAAACTGGACTGTGCTATTTTGTCTAATCAATTGCCACATCATCTCTTTAGTGAGCATTTAACTGAACTAGCTGCCATAGGTGCAACTGCTAATTGTTCTTGTAAACATTTCTCTTGGCAATGTTGAGTAGTTGCCTTTTTGCAGGGATAAGGTTATAATACAGATAAACTCTGCACTGCAATACTCCTTAATATTTACTGATATATATTCTTCTTGAAAGTTAATACATGTCTAATGTAAATTGATTTACCTATCCCTTTGGTAGCTAAGGCCACAATCCTCTTGCCTTCACAGCAGATATTCATGAGCACCCCAGCTTGGAGGTTCATGAGCATCCAATGGCAGGAGTGAGGTATGGTGGCAATCTGCCACTACCACAGCTTGCACCCTGCATTTTCTCTAAAACTGTTGCCTTTGGCTGGCTAAATTTAGCACCAGGAAGCAGGTTGGGGCACAGATTGCAACTGATGTAACTCCATGGTCCTCCTCCCCTCCCCATCTCAGCCATACCCCTTTTTACCTTGCCTGAGACCCAGTTGTGACCTCATAAAGTGCATGTCAGGATCTTGGCCTTCAGACTCCCAGCTCTGAGAACATAGGAGACTCTGAAGAATCCGGTGGCCTCCTAGATGGTGCAGGGAGGCCATAGGATTGTACCTACCCTAAAAGACTGATATTACTGGAAAGATTAATGCTCACCTCCAATCATGTAGGCACGCTAGTGTAATCTGTAACAGATTAAAATGCTTTCAGATTTCTATGAATCAGACCTCCAAGTTCCACAATGGACCAGCTTTTTCTGAGTCACACAGACTTGCAGACAGTTTTTAAAAAACTTTTGTGAAGAACTTATACTGATGCACAAGCAGAACAACATTCTTCTAACAAAAGTCAATTCCATAAGTAGACAACAGCACAAAAGACCCCCAACAATCCACAAAACACAGATAGGAATAGATTTAACTAAATCTGTACATCCCCAGGTGCGTGAGGAGATGTGAGGGAAGGGAAGCTGTCCTGCCAGTGGTTTTTGTTCCTCTAGCAGATGGCCAGCACTAGATGCAACCCTCAAAACCAATTTTCTAATACAACTTCAGAGCATCTTAAGGTAGCCAATGTTTATCTTATTAGGGGAGTTGCTATTTTTTCTGTACCAATTTTACTCTATATTATAAAACCTTTGTGAAGGATCAAGTAGCTTTGGAAGTCTCCTTGCAAAAGCCCCTAACAGCCTGGACTTCTGAACCTACCAAGGCTGAGTATTATCCTTTTTCTGAACCTGCAAAGCTGGTTCCCCTTTTCTGTGTCCTTTCTGAAGTTGGTGCCTGACCAAGCTTTGTTTGCTAGAATGCAATAGCATTATTCACATTTCTGAAGAAGCAGCTAATGCTCATTTCAATGCTTTTGAAGTTCATTCGGAAGTACCTCATACTTGGCAGCAAGTACTGGAGTAAACACAGTTTATGTTTGCCAACACGGTGCTATGCAAAAAGACTTACTTCATAGTCTTTATAATATGCTGTGTGAAACAAGGAATCCTAACACTTGTCAGAGGAAAAGCCAAACCAAGATTAAGCTATATGTACTGAGGCAGGAACTGCCCAAGTTTGAGGCCCTGACATTTGCTTGAGGACATAGTATGCTGTCTGGAATTCTTTTGACAATAATCTAATTTCAACATGTCCTTTGGATACAGTCATTCTTCCCATTCATATATTTCATAATATAAAGTTATAAATATTACTAATTTACTTGATCCCTGCATGACAAATGACTGAATTGTTTGCCACAGTTGTTCTGCATACATATCCACTTACCTCTCTATCTATATCTCTTTCTGTGTGCATTTGTGTGTGCAAAAGGATCATTTTAACTTTTCACAAATTCAAACTGAATCGATCCAATATGGTGAAGCCCAAAGCCAGATTTCAGCATGTGAATTCAAAAACTGTGTGGCAAAATAGCAAATGAGCAAAAGGAGGGTGGTAAAGTTCATTTTCCCCCCACCAGAATCATCTTTGCCACCCACCTACCACCTGGGTTTCCATCCTGCCCTTTGTTTACTGAATTTTCATATCAGATAATTAGCTATCAGAGAGTGCTGAACTGGTTCTGGAGCCAGGTTTGTCCCAAGTGATGATGCTGTACACTTCTAAATGTTGAGAGCAGACAAATATTCAGCTAAAGGTAACTTTGGTAGAGTTAAAAGACAACAAGGCAGTGTAAGATTTAAGAGAAAATATTGTCTCAGCTAGGATCTCAGTCATTTAATTCATCTATTCTGTTTTCTTCAGTTATTAGCCAGAGACTCTTGGTGACTTTGACTCAGGGCTGTGAAGTTGGTACATAAAACCTTCGACTCCAATTCCTCAGACTATGGTACTGTCAACTCTGGCTTCTTTATTTCTATATCAATATAGGAAAATAATATACTAATTATTTATTTTCTATACTGGTTGAAAGCACTCAACCCACAAGGCGTTTCATCACTGCCAACATGAATTATCAGGCTATTTTTAAGAACCCTAACCCGTTAAAATATATCTTGAGAAAATAGGTTACTCAAATTATTATCTGTGAAATAGAAAATTTAAATTTATTAGGAGTTGGTATATTTTTACCAGCTCCAACTCTAACTCCAATAGCCCAAGAATTGCTTCTAACTCCAACTCTGACTCCATGACTCTGACTCCACAGCCCTGCTTAGATTGCAATCCTATGCATGTTTAGACAGAAGAAAGTCCTACAAAAGTTTTCCTGTCTGAACATGTATAGGATGGCAACTTTATAGGACTTGAAACTGAAGATGCATATTTTGCAAGGAAAAAAAATACATTTAAATTCCATCTCACAAATTAGCCATGGGTTCCACTGGCCATCCAAAGAAAACTCTTGTTAAAGCACTTGTGAAGTACTTCTTGCATAGGTTTTGTTGCAAGTTTGGAGAAAAGGGCTTCATAACTGTGGGCAGTCAGAAAGGCAGTCAGCCTCTAGGAGCCTGAGCTGTAGAAACTTATGCATGGATGGCAGATTCAACTGAGCCCTCTCAGCTAATATTAGAAACTGTGCCTGGACTTAGGCACTTTGTGAGATCCAGGCTGTTGGGATGTGTAACAGGATTTTCCCACCATCTTCTCCCCCACAAAGCTTGCGTGTTACCTGAAAATCTGTTCCAGAGTGTTTCTAGACGTCTGAAGCAGATTTTGAGGATATGTGGGGACCGGGAGTTTGAGAATCACCTGCCATTTCCATGAATGAAAGCAGTTCAGGCTGTGAAATGATGCCATTGGATACAACTCGTAATATGCTTTCCACGGGTTG